GTCGTTGTTGTTGTTCTTATTGCAAAAGCCATTATAAAAATACTCAAGCGAATAAACTTTTGCCAACGTCCTTACAAAAGGAAACTGCAAAAATGCACAATAATTGAATTAGTTTTAAGGAGAAACAGATGAAATATCTTTTTGGCTTTGTTTTTTAGAGTTCAATATAAAATGAACTGGAATTCGAAGAGTGGAACAGTTGATGCTATTATCAACTGAAATGTCAAAATAACGCCAATCTTAGTAAAATATGAATAAAAGCTTCAAATCGAGCGATAATGTTATAGCAGGGCTGTAAGAAAAATGGACCAATTTTTATTAAAATGTCTTGCTTCCGCCCAACAGTTCCAAGTTAAAACAAATAAAACATTACTGAATCTGAATATATTTTCAAGGCTTGCCTGTTTTCATCACAATTACTATATTAAGCAGGAAAGTCCAGTGAGTCATTTGGAAGTACTTTATATCAATTTGTCTTTCTACAAAATTGCCACAAAGTGAACCCGATGAAAACTGTGAAAAACAGTCGATATCGAGTTTTGAAATCTTCAATTCAAACCTGTTGAAACCCGGAAAGGAATACCGTTAAACTAGGTCGTGTTTATAATTTAGAACACCACTTTGGTTGTATGGATTTAATAATCGATAAGCTTCCGGATCTAAAGGTTATCTTTTTATCACTGGACTTATCTCTCTCCAAAGCATGTAGATCCACTATATGTCAGTTAAAATTGATCGGTTTGAATCACCCAAACAGGCATTGCAACGAAAGCATATTATATTTAGACGTAAGGGAAGGTTTTTCGTTTCCTGATGCAGGCGACAGGTTAAAATTCATTTCTTTTGCGGGAATTCTAGGCGCATTACACTGCAACGTATATCTGAACACTGGTCGACCAATCCCATTATAAAAGTTCTATAAGGTTTTATTCTCTGCGACATAAGCTCAGCAGACGATTACGCAGACGATTTAAAGTGCTAGTTTGTTGGTTCATGTGGTAAACACTGTGTCCACCCGACTCCCTATATCGCTCTGCGGAGCTTTCTCTTCTTTTTCCGAAATTCCCACACATAATGAAGTATCCATCGTTTCGAATTTGACCGGATAAATGTATTCTCAACGTTCTCGAACGGTATGGCATGATTGACGTATCAAAGGCTATTGATAGGTCAAGCATTACAAACAACGCTCTGTGGCACGGCCGGTTCTGGTTTAGTCCTCGTCTTATATGCGCGAAGATGACGTGCACATAAGTTATGGAACCCATGCTGATGATCCGTAATTGCATAGTTTTCCATATGATCTGCTTAATATGTATTTACCGCCGGCATTGGTATTAGATATTAACCAGAGGCAGGCTGGCAGAGTAAATTGACAGAATAAGGGAAAGTGATCAGATCACTATACGATAAATGTTTCCATCAGAAGACAGCTCGATTTTATCACTCCTGGATGCCACATATGAACGCCGGGTTTCAGATAATTCTACAAACATAACTCTAGAGCACCGTTATTAAAACACCTTTGATGCCAGAGTCGCGAAGAAAAAACGGAATAAACGATCTGAAGTGCTGCAACATTGGACATTGTTTGAATAAAATGTTGCATATGGTTAAGCCTCTTTCGAATAGATGACTGGACCTCAGTGAACCAACCGTTTCTTGGATATCCAATAGTGGCAGGGCGAAAGGCAAAGGGAAATGCCAGCACAGTTTTCGTCTCAATCGGACAAATATTGGGAGTTTTGTGCTCCATTTACATAAAATCGGACGAAACAATATATGGGAGCTTTATCTAAATCTGAATCGATTTCCACAAAGCTTCGCATACATCAATATGGACTTAAGTCAGTACGCTGTGCCAAAATGTGTCTCAATTAGTCAAATATTGGCAGTATGGTGCTCCATTTGCATAAAATCGGACGAAACTATATATGGGAGCTATACCTCTGAACCGAATTTCTCAAATTTCAATAGGATTCGTCTTTAGGCCAAATATGTGACTTGTGTCATATTTCATCCAAATCGGATAATAAATACGACCTGTACTTTGTTCACAAGATTACATGGACAGACGAACATGTATAAATAAACTCAGAAATTGATTCGATGCATGGAGCGAGTTTCACAGGAGGACGTTTAGGACTTTATTGCAAATTCAACTATGTATGGCTTTGAATACCGGCTGTTACGGCAAAGATTACATGGTTTTCGCTTTCGACGATCTGTTCACGTCCGATGGAATATCGTCTTGAGAAATTGTGCCACCTCTATTGACTTTAGCCATAAGTTCATGGAAGAAGATGAAATGGTTCGAATGGGCAATTGAATAAATGATGTGTGTTGCGAGGGCTTTGCTGGCAAGGGCTCCTATTTAGGACTCTGGGAACAATGTGTTCTCGATAGGAATTGAGAACATTGCTATATCCGAACCTTAGTTGTGCCTAGCATGCAACGAGTTTGACAGTCCGAAATGTCAGGAGGACGTTTAGCACTTTATTGCAAATTCAATCATTTATGGCTTCGAAGACCGGCTTTTAATGATTTCCGCTTTCGACGATCTGTTCACGTCCGATAGAATGTCGTCTTGGATGTCTTCACGATTACACCTGATGAATGTGTCGCGGAGGTGAATCAACCATCACCGTGTGTTGGTTGGGATGACACTGCAGATAGCATGCCATTATGTTGCTAACGGTATCCCTTCTCCCTGTTGGGTGCGACCGACGCTTTTCATCTTGACAAAACACACTGCAATTAGGCGTAAATTATTTTGAGATGTTTTCTGGTTGGTGTTATTGGAGGGCGAGGAGAAATGAAGGTGATTATTGAAAACAATCCCAAGAATTTTTGGATTGTTGACGGTGGGAATATGCTTACCTTCGAAAGAAATGTCATGTTCTATATTGCCTTCTCTCTTCCAAGAATTTAGTAATTGTGGCTAAATAGTTTGAATATGTTGGTGCTTATTGGTAATGTTAACGCTCGGAGAAATTACGGTACAATCATCGGCGTACGACGACACCACTGAAATATCAGGGGGAGGAGTTTCACAAGATATATGCTGAACAAAAAATGAGATAGGACACCGCCTTGCGTGCCTGTCATTTGGAATTTTGGCAGAGGAACTCAACGTAGATTTGGCGACCATCAAGGGAAGGATTTAATTCGTGATGTAGGATATTAGCGCTGAATTGTTGTAGCAGTCCTACTGCTTTTAAACAATGAGCTGAGGTGACAGACGTTGGCCGAGTAAGACTCGAGTCGTTTCGGATCGTAGATTCCTCTGTCGTGAAAACGTATAGGTCAAATCTAAGGCTGCCAGAATGATCCGTAAAAGGGGTCATTGCTGATTAAGGCCAATTGGCAATATTGTACATAATTTCTTGCAAAACAGTATTTTTTTTTTGAAACCATGATGGTGTGTCTTGGAAACTTGGCTACTGGCGAAAGAAGATTACCTTTTCCAATATTTGGGATAAACTCGTCATTTTCGATATCATTAATTTTTTTAAACATTTTTTGATGCATCACCGAACAACCATAAAATATTTGATGACATTTAATCAAAACTTATATTGGGGTTTTGTTGTGCGGTACCTGCGTTATTTCTTTGGAATAATTTTAATGGACTCTTAATTACTATCATCACCGTTATTGCCATCGTGAGAAATAACATCACCCCCCGCCCTGTACATCAAATCAGCAACGATATATGTCAGCCATCTATCCATCAAGTGGCTATCCAATCCGATTTCATAACGGTATATAGACTGTGTGTGAGTCCTGTCGTTGTCTGTCGTGCCTTTCATATAAATACACGCAATCAAAATAAAATATAACTTTTTAATAAAGAATTACAACAAAAACAACAACGAAAATATTGTGAATAACGTTTTTTTTTTGTTTTTTCCGCAGTTATTTATTTACGAGAAGAATTTCCCATACAAATGTATTCGGGCCCAACCAACTCACCAACCCTTTCGTTACTTAAATGTATCTCTTTGACTGTCCGCTGTCATTCATTTACCCACACCCGAACTATGTTATGATGATATGGTGTGGTTGGCAACTTATAATTGGAAAAATAATGTTGTTTCATTTCGATTTTCCCCCCCAAACATTTTTATTTCGTATTTTTTCAGGTCGTCGGCGGCGGCCAGAAAAAGAGTGAAAAACAATCCTCAGTATAATTACAAAATTAATGTCCTTTTGAGTTGCAATGATTACAGCGTTGCTGGTTAATATAATTTTTTTTTTCTGTGTGAGTTTTTATATAAAAACCACTGGATGTTGTTGGTTTTGAAATAAAAAACAAATTAAAGTTTTTTAATTGACAACAAAATCGTGGTAATTTGTAAGCAACAAAGTTAACGAAGTAAAGTGGGGGGAAATATTCCGCTGACATGGGAATGAGTGGCCTTTAATATGGAGTTAATTATATTTGTTAGATTCTATAGATACTGATATGGCTTTAAGTTCCTAATCTGCCCATTGTTCGTGGAGCGATGTTTATAATTTCTAAGACGAAGATTTTCCAACCAATGGAAAACCAATATTTCCAATTACAGTCAATTCGGTTGAAAGCCCTTTTCCAAAGTCCTCAAAACACCGTCAATTTGGGGGATATGTTTAAACGTGGACTCATCTTCAAACTTGATTGCAGTCACAATACAACCCATTGTCACATTTAGCTCTTTATATCAATTCCTTCGATAGACTGTGTGATTATAATGAGGTTTATATTCCAATATTTAATTTACAGCCTGTTTTTGTAAAATTCCAAACGAACGAATTCGAGTGACTTACGACCAAACTCCTTGGTTTTGAAAAATATGTCATGTATTTTTGTTTTGAATCAGAAAACCTTTATAAGCATAAATAAAGGTTTGGTCGTAAGTCACTCGAATTCGTTCGTTTGGAATTTTACAAAAACAGGCTATTATATTTCGAAGTTATTTACCGAATTAAATTTTAATTTTTCTTTCTTCCCTTTACAGCATTTGTGTCATGGACAAAATTCTACACCACTTTCCCCAAGGAATTGAAACCAATTTTCAATGTGAAAAATGCCCATATGGGTCATTTTGCCAAAAGTTTCGGTCTAAAGGATCAACCCACGTCGTTTGTGAAGAAACATACAATGCCTAAGCCAGCATTGCCCACAAATCGTTTAACATACACGGAAAGGTATGGCACATTATGTTCATTTTCAAACATTGATAATATAATAAAATTATTATTATTATTTTCTTTCAACAGAGATCCCGAGAAAATCAAATTGGAACGCAAGGCAAGAAAGCATCGTTTTGGTACCACCGTAACGGGAGCCGTAAGAAATTTGAATCGTCCCGAACCAAATAGATTGGCAAAAATGATACCCACCTCCAGGGTATTGACAATATCTGAATTTGACAGCGGTTTACCGTCATCTAAAAAGCGTAAACATTAATTGTTTAGAATTTAAGATATTGTTAGTAGTTGCCATAAAAAAAAAATAATAGTAAAAAGTTTTATTTAGGAAAAATAAAATTTTATATTTAAAATTTGAAAACTCAAGCCTAGGTTCACTTGTTTGCAATTTGGGTGTGTATTATCTAAACTGTATAGTTATATTTGAATTTTTGAATGGTCCGCTATCCAAAATATTGGTCATAAAATCCAGTATATATGTGAAACCTATTTTCTATTTTCTGACAACTCTTTAAGCGAGGTAGAATACCTCCTCGCAGAAATATTTTTAATATGGGCCTGTATTACGAACTATTCCCCATGAAAGCCCCGTTTTTTATAGTGGTCAATATTACCCTACTTTGAATTATTTTATTTAAAAATTATTTTCGGCTTAAATAATAAACAAGTGAAAAAGCGTTAAGTTCGTCCGGGCCGAACTTTGGATACCCCCCACAATAGTTATACTGACAGATACATTCAATGAAATTATAGGGAACATACCAAAAAGTGAGCATATACCGATAATTCTACAAACCGGTTTATGTAAACATTATGTACACCAAATACAAACTTCAGCAATCTTTAATGGGGATTTTTCCTAAAATCTGTAAGATCCAAAAAGTGGACAGATAACGCATGGTAGAGTATAAAATCCTCACACTACTGTAATTTAGATTACAAAGTTATATGAGGGTATGCCTAAAGGGGGACCAATATTGATTACATAGAGTAGGAAATAGTGAATATTTGGGGATATCATTATATGAGGGCTATGCCTATGCCTCTATGAATGACCGGTATATGCCAATTTTGAACCCAGTATTTTGATTGTTTATATTGAAGAGATGCCTAAATGTCTGCCGATATATTTCATTATTGTTATGTTAGAGTTTTTTTTTATCACAATATATTTAGAAGGGGGAATGCTTACAACAGATGGCTAAATAGTCTTTGTAGGGTAAAAATGGATTATTCCCCGTAACGACTACCCAACCGCAACACACGGAAAAAATCATATAACTATTTTAATATAAACAAGTGAAAAAGCGTTAAGTTCGGCCGGGCCGAACTTTGGATACCCTCCACCATAAATATACTGGCAGGTACTAGAAATAATAATATGGGGAACATACCAAAAAGTTGACCTACACCGACATTTCTAAAAACAGATTATCTAAACCATAATGTAAACCATAACACAAATTTCCGAATTTTTTAATGGATAATTATACCCTTAGCCTTATGGCTAATGAGGGTGTATACACTTTAACACGGTGAAAATTTGTCTCATCGAAATATTGGGTTACATTTATACTGTGTGAAATTAAAACTTGTTATTCATAATTTAAACTAAGTATGTTTTGATTTTTATTTGTTCTATACTTCAAATTTGTTCATATACTTTTAAATATTTTTCACTGTAACTTGAATTGTTGAATAGCGTAGAAGGGTCTACAATTTGAATAAACCTGACTATATTCGGATGTTTATCAAAGGCCCTTGCTGTTTTTTCTTACGCTATTAACATTTTCTTTATGTGGTCTTTATGCCTTTCTGAGACCTACGCTAAATTTCATTTCATTCGGGAAAGTTTAGAGTCGTTTGAGTACAATGGGACTAATTTAAGTAAATCGATGTAGAGGAAAATTGGCACACGCTATTCGGTAGGCCGCACTCTTCAAAATTTAATCTCAATCAGACACCCGTTTGAAATATATATGCAAGCTGTGTCTGCATCTGCGCTAATTTCACCAACACGTAATAACGTCATTCAAGAGTCAATTTGATACGTTTTGCAAAATTTCGTGTCGAGATATATCAGTACATTGTACAAAATTGTGTGTCAATAGTAAAAACGTTGGGTCTTTAGTGCACAATTGACCTGAAACCGGAAGAAAATGTATATAGCAGCTATATATAAATCTGAACCGATTTTCACGAAACTTAGCACATATAATTCTAGACTAAGTTCAGTACGATATGACAAATTTCATGCAAATCGAAAAATATATAGGAGTTTTGGTGCATCATTTATATAAAAACGGACGAAACTATATATTGCAGGTATATCTAAATTTGAACCGATTTTCACGAAACTTAGTTCATCATTCTAGACTCAATTCACTACGCTATGACATTATTTAAATTTATTGCGTGTGTGCTATAGCTTCCAATGTAACGATCAAAATCGGTATATGGCGAAATATATGAACAAAAAAGAAAAACAAATCTGATATACTGAAAATTATTTCTTAACAATATTGTTAAGGTAAGACAACGTTTGCCGGGCCCGCTAGTTTTAATATAAACCAGTAAGGAAAGTAGTAAAGTCGGATGGGGCCGACTATATGATACCCTTCACCACTATGGATATATTAAACAGGACTATTATCATGAAATTATATGAAATAACATATGTGATATTTATCTAAATGTAGATCTATCCATAAACATGTCATTCGTTTGTTACAATGGAACAAAAGTATTTAAATCGACTTCAAACAAATGTCAATAGTTCATCCATTGAGCTAGGTCTGTACTTCTAGAAAACCCAACTACGTTATTCTATGCTCAATTTTGTACGTTGTGCAAAATTTGATGTCAATCTAACAAATATTAGGAATTTGATGCACAATTTACTTATATATGGATGCTATATCCAAATATGAACCGATTTCAACGAAGCTTGTCACAGGTTAGGTTATACTAATTTCAGTACGTTTTGTGCCTATCAGCCATATATTGGTTCCTTGGTGCGTCAAATACTTAAAATCAATCTATAATATAGGGGAGCTATATCTAAATCTCAACCGATTTCCACTAAACTTGGCACACATTATTCTGGATTAAATTAAAAACGCTATGCAACATAAGAAGTTGGTACAAAAATGATACGAAAATATATATCTACATCTGAATCGATTTTCACGAAACTCAGCACACTCATTCCAGCATCAATTCAGAACGCTATGCCAAAATTTGTGCAAATCGAAGGATACATGTGGTGCACCATTTACATTAAATCGGACGAAAATATATATGGGAGCTATATCTAAATCTGGACCGATTTTCACGAAACATACCAGACATCATTCTAGGCTCAATTCAGTGCGTTATGTCAATTTTCGTGCAAATCGAAAGATATATAGGGACTTTGGTGCACTATTTACATGAAATCGGACGAAACTATGTATGGGAGCTATATCTAAATTTGGACCGATTTTCACGAAACTTGGCTGACATCACTCTATGCTCAATTCAGTACGTTATGCCAAATTTCATGCAAATCGAAAGATATATAAGGACTTTTGGTGCACCATTTACATTAAATCGGACGAAACTATATATGGGAGCTATATCTAAATCTGGACCGATTTTCACGAAACATACCAGACATCATTCTAGGCTCAATTCAGTGCGTTATGTAAATTTTCGTGCAAATCGAAAGATATATAGGGACTTTGGTGCACAATTTACATGAAATCGGACGAAACTATATATGGTAGCTATATCTAAATCTGGACCGATTTTCACGAAACATACCAGACATCATTCTAGGCTCAATTCAGTGCGTTATGTCAATTTTCGTGCAAATCGAAAGATATATAGGGACTTTGGTGCACTATTTACATGAAATCGGACGAAACTATGTATGGGAGCTATATCTAAATTTGGACCGATTTTCACGAAACTTGGCTGACATCACTCTATGCTCAATTCAGTACGTTATGCCAAATTTCATGCAAATCGAAAGATATATAGGGACTTCGGTGCACCATTTACATTAAATCGGACGAAACTATATATGGGAGCTATATCTAAATCTGGACCGATTTTCACGAAACATACCAGACATCATTCTAGGCTCAATTCAGTGCGTTATGTAAATTTTCGTGCAAATCGAAAGATATATAGGGACTTTGGTGCACAATTTACATGAAATCGGACGAAACTATATATGGTAGCTATATCTAAATCTGGACCGATTTTCACGAAACATACCAGACATCATTCTAGGCTCAATTCAGTGCGTTATGTCAATTTTCGTGCAAATCGAAAGATATATAGGGACTTTGGTGCACTATTTACATGAAATCGGACGAAACTATGTATGGGAGCTATATCTAAATTTGGACCGATTTTCACGAAACTTGGCTGACATCACTCGATGCTCAATTCAGTACGTTATGCCAAATTTCATGCAAATCGAAAGATATATAGGGACTTCGGTGCACCATTTACATTAAATCGGACGAAACTATATATGGGAGCTATATCTAAATCTTGACCGATTTTCACGAAACATACCAGACATCATTCTAGGCTCAATTCAGTGCGTTATGTCAATTTTCGTGCAAATCGAAAGATATATAGGGACTTTGGTGCACAATTTACATGAATTCGGACGAAACTATATATGGTAGCTATATCTAAATCTGGACCGATTTTCATGAAACTTGGCAGACATCACTCTATGCTCAATTCAGTACGTTATGCCAAATTTCATGCAAATCGAAAGATATATAGGGACTTTGGTGCACAATTTACATGAAATCGGACGAAACTATATATGGTAGCTATATCTAAATCTGGACCGATTTTCATGAAACTTGGCAGACACCACTCTATGCTCAATTCAGTACGTTATGCAAAATTTCGTGCAAATCGAAAGATATGTAGGGACTTCGGTGCACCATTTACATTAAATCGGACGAAAATATATATGGGAGCTATATCTAAATCTGAACCGATTTTTCCCAATAGGGTTCGTCCTTGGGTCAAACAAATGAGCTGTGCCAAATTTCATCCAATTCGGATCATAAATGCGACCTGTACTTTGCTCACAAAAATACATGGACAGACAGACAGACGGACGGACATGCTTAAATCGACTTAAAAAGTGATTCTATGCATATTCTCAAAAGGAACCATGGGTCTATCTCGTTTCCTTTTGCCTGTTACAAACATATGCACAAAGACATAATACCCTGTACCACAGTGTGGTGAAGGGTATAA